TATTGGTACACTTTAGATATATATAATGATAACATTCATCATAGGGAGTTTGTACCTGCCCACCATAGATCTTGCTTCTTTCTTCCCACCTCCTCCCCTCCCTTCAACCTCTCTTCCCTCCTTATTTTCAGAGGTTTTATTTCCATTTCCCCTTCATATTCCCTCCCACCCCCGCTCCCCTTCTCAGTCGAGCACTTTCTTCCCATTTCCAGTATCTATGCTATGTTTTGGTCCTTATTTATGCCTTTGCTTTCCCATACCACAGACACGATGCAGAATTTAAACGTGTGTGTCCAATTTATTTCATTGAGAGTATAGTCTCAAGGCGCATCCATTTAGCTGAAATGTCTCAAGTTTCTCTTATTTACAGCAGAGTAGTACTCCATTGCATTTAAAAAAAAAACACCACATCTTTTTTATTCATCCATCACTTGATGGGCACTTGGCTGTTTCCAAGGTTTAGCCCTTACAAACTGCCACTATAAATATGGGTGGATATATGTCGCCATGGGTGATGCTTTTAATTATTTTGGGAGCTGGGCCAAATAGAACTTCTAGTTTGTTTTTTTAGGACTCTCCACACTGATTTCCACAGTGGCTGTATCAGTCTATACTCCCACCAACAATGGAGAAGGGCTCCTTTTCCCCCCACACCCCTGCTATTGTTATTTGTTATTGGTTGATTTCTTGCTGAGAGTCATTCTTTCTGGGGTGAGACGGAATCTCAGCATGGTTTTCGTTGGCATCTCTCAAGTGACTAGTGATGTCGAGCATTTTTTCATATGTTTATTTGCCATTTCTATTTCTATTTCTTCATCTGAGAAGAATCTGTCCGTGTCAGATGCTCATGGTCAGATTGGGTCTTTAAGTTGCTCTTTTTGTGGTCTGATTGGTTCTCAAACTTTCAGAGACCTTATTCCTCCAGATCTGCTTTTATTGAGCCCTGTTTTCTCCTTGCCCAGAAGAGGGGGCGCGGAGCCCTCAGGGCTCAGGGCAGGCAGGGCAGGGGGCTGCTTCTGTGGGTTCCTCTCAGACCCAAGGCCCACACCGGTGCGTGTCCCTCTGCTGAACTGGTCCTTATTCTGCAGCTAACTTGCTGTGTGCCCTGGGCCCCACAATTTGTGGCTAGCCCTTCCTGGGGTGACTGGTGGCGTCATGAGCCCCTCTTCCACAGAGGTCTCCTTTTCGCTTACTACCTCTAAGTGATGCAAGGTTTAAGGAAGCAGAAGTCATCTCAATAGGCTTTCCCACTGCACAGTTTTCCTCTGGCTGGAGTTGGGGATTCACTAAAACCAAAGAGCCTGAGAAATTCTTTGGCACTGCCCAGAGAAATGGCAGATGGCCATGCACCACAAGCCCCCAGTTACAGGACACTCAGCCTGACTAGGGAACCCACACCCACAGCCCAGGTGAGTGCCAAGTCACTCAGAAGCCTGGGTGGGGGCGACAAATCTTTTAGGAAGCTGCTTGGGAATGCTTTATGGCATGGAGGGTTACACGGCTCTAGCTGAACAAATGGAAAAATTAGTCTACCCTAAAATATCCAAGGCAAGTAATTTCCTGTCACCTTGTTTCTTAAATGTGCTTAACATCTAGAAGCTAGGTTTCCCAAAATATGGCTAAGGGTCAGTAGTTAAAATGGCAACTCAGAGATAAAAATCTTCCACTTTAATGAGTGTTCATAAATTGATGCCCTTGGCCCCTCTGTTTGGTGCCAGAGTTGGAACTGAACCATGATGTCAGTATATACGAACTGAACAGGCTCAAAGAAGCCACCAAGCAGGACACCGGGCCTCTGCCCACCAAGGAGGCCCAGCCCCTGTCTGCTGTTCTCTGCAGGGATGGCCCAGGGTGCCCACCTCGGGCTCCTTTAATTCCCCTCCTGTTAGAACACTTCACTTTCCTAGTTTCTTTCTCCAAATCTCTATTAAAACAAGCTGTTGATTCCAAACAGTGACAGTCAGGCCACTCATTTTTCATATTCTTCTTTCTTTTTTTCTTCTTCCTTCCCTCACTTTGCTCTTCTTTCTGTTCCCTTGATTGCTTATTCTATTCATTCATTCCATTTCTTCAGTAGAGATTGTTTAAATAGCTCTACGTATGGGAACTAAACACTAATTCCTTAGGTTACAACAGTGTACAAGTGAGCACTTAGCCTGCAAGCAGCTGACCTTAGGGTTAGGGGTGCCACACAAGGGCCCGCTGAGGGACTCAGTGGGCATGATTGGGACTGGCACCCACGAGCTGGAAAAGGCCCTATGTGACCCATGTGCTGAGAGATGAATTGGAGCTTGCAGGAGAAGTCGAAGGAAGAGTGTTCTGGAGAACGAATGGCACAGCAAAGGGGAAATCAACGTAAGTATGAGGGGACAATAGGAGTGCATGTGGCTGGAGAAATCAGCAGAGGACACTGCAACTTTAGGGGGTTTTTGTGTGTTTTATTTTGGAGTGGGAGAGACCATAAGGACAAGGAGGTGACCCTGGGTGTGGAAGGTGCTGGATGGCCTGGAGCAGCAAGTGAAGCGACCAATCAAAAAGCCCAATGAACCAAAACAGCAAAACGTGCAAGGGGCTCGCCCTCTCTCTCCCACCCAGTCCCAGCTAGCTCTGAAACGGGGCATCCGGGTCCTCCAGCAGCCTGGTGTCATGACCCAGTGAAGCATCTGCCCTCTGTGTTAAGGATGGGGCTGAGCTGGGGGCGAGCAGCCACGACTCACAGAGGCCTGACATCAACCAGCCCTGTAGCTCTGGGTGCTAGTGAGACTGCATGGAGTCTTGGGAGCTCACTGCAACTTTAGGGGGTTTTGTGTGTTTTATTTTGGAGTGGGAGAGACCAGTCACGGAGTGAGAGGTCCACTGCACACTAGAATGTCCTCCCTGCACCTTTTGGCAGGCAAATTACTTCAGAGGCCATGAAACGAGTCACTAAGTTCTAAACCTGGGGTGAGCAAACAAAGTTGATAAATGTGTCTAGCTACAGAAATACAGACCTAGCGCCCAAGCCAATCGAGACACGCAGACTGTGACAATGTAAGAGAGGTAGTTCTTGGCTCAGGGCCTACTCCTGTACACACACAAGCACACACACACACACACACACACGCACAGACTCACATATACACACATGCCCTCCCTCCCTTCCCTTGAAATATCGGTTGCCAACATCAATTCCTAAAATTTCTGATGCTCAGGATAATCCAGTGAAAAACAACCAAGAGGTAAGGCTCAAAGGTATTTAAGGAAGTTGGGGTGTGGGGTAGCTCAGAATAATGAAAGGAAACAACAACAAAAAAAAATCAGCCAGTGAGGGGAGGGTCTGGCTTTTAGCAGCTGAACAAACACTTAGGCTGCTGAACCGGAATCCTTTTAGTGATAGCTAACACCACGTGCAAGGCTGATCAGCTTATCAGGTATGAATTGCAACCTTTCCTGGGTATTTTTTCTCACTTCCTAGTTCATGATCAGGAATAAGAGAGGCTAACTTTTCCTAATTATGTTAAGTCCAAGAGATTTAAAAATTTAGAAGGCAGCCAAGATGAAGAAAAGGCTGTATAAGGAAGGCTTCCATCTTTGTCCATTTCCATTATTATAACAAAACACACCAAGCTGGGTACTTTATAAAGCAACAAGGTTCATTTACCTCCCAGTTCCAGATGCCCAAAAGCACAGGCTTCTGGTGAGGGCCCCATGGCTGCATTACAACATGGCAGATGATTCTATGGTGAGGAGGTGCAGAGACCGGTAGAGGGATGAGCCATGTGTGTGGAAGACCTCACGTGGAGATGGAACAACCTTCTTTTTTATAGTAACTAGCTCATTCAGGGATGAATGCACTGCTAGAAACCTACCCCATTCTGGGAGATCATATTAAACCCTTCATGAGGGCAATGGGGTCATAGTCACCCTCTCAGGGCCCCCTTAGTTCAATATGTTTTAATACTCTTACACTGGGGTCCTAGCACCTTTGGCGAGGAGACACCGTATCCAAAGCACAGCATCTTCCCAGCAGAATCTACACCCCCAGGCAAGGCCTCCCCACCAGCAGTAGGCCTCGAGTTCTCCAACCTCCTGCTGTAGAAGTGTTCTCCCCTGACAGCTTTGTGCAGTTGATAAAGAACGGGTGCCTTTCAAAATGGAGCCTTCCAATAACCAACAATTCCCAGAAAAAGGGAAGCCACCATCATCTATCAAGGAATTTGGTAACATCTAGAAAACATTTCCCAAGAAAGTTCCCCTGAACCCATGCACAATATCATTTTCTTGAGTCAAAATCCAATGCCATCACTTGCAAAAGCTGCCTCTGGCAAGGGGTTGAAAATAAATCTATCTTGGCAAAACAGGAAATTATTTTAGGGGACAGAATTAAACTTCGGCAGTTTTTCTTCCCTTTCTCAATTGTACTTTTGTTCATAGCTTCAGCTGGGAGAAAGAGAGAGTGCACACATTTAGTCTGGAGTTTATGAGTTCATATTTTATAATTAACGTTGCCAACAGGGGAGTTTGATTAATACCAAGCAGTGGATTTTGAGCAATGTTCCATACAAATTGCCAAATTTAGCAATAAAATAAATTGGTTATGTGAACATAATTAGTAGGACGACTACTTAAAATTCAAAACTGAATGTGAATAATTCCAAGTCGTCTAAGCCACAAATCCATTATTTGTATAGAAGGGGGAAAGTGTAGCATTTCTGTTTTATTTCACCCTCAACCACAATGTTATTTGCCACCAAACCGAACATAATGAAACTTCTACAACGGCTTGTGACAATATTTTAGAACAACCCAGAAACATACACATTGGCATTGTGTATATGCACACACATACACAAAGGGGATATAACAAAGATAAGCTCAACTGAATTTTCATTGCAAATGTAAAGCTCTCTATCAGAATTTTCAACCCATGCTGCATTCCACTGTTATGATGTGCCCTACACAGACCTCTCTCTCGTGTGATTGCATTAGCCGAGGTGCTTTCCTTTTTGTGGTCACGGTACCTTATTGTCACCCTGGACTTCTGCAAGCCTTTGCTGAAGCTCTTTAATTTCTTCTCCCAGCTGTTTATTTCGGTCCTGAGAATCTCTCAGTAGTTGTGCAAGATTAGCCTGGAAATATCAACACATTATAAAACACAATCAGAAACAAAGAAACAGATGAGTAGGGGCCCTCACTGGGCCTTGTGACGCCAGTGCCCCAGCCTGGCTGGACCCTGTGAACCATCAGAGAAAACACATCTATGCATGCAGCGAGAGTGCAAATCACAGCGCCATGTGTGCGCCGGAAGAATGGACTTGGCCTCAATTTAGGGGTGTTCTTGGTTCCCAGAGGGGCCCACGCAGGGTGCCTGGGCATATAGCAGTGGAGTTACTTGTACCTGCCCACTCGAAAAATTTCTAAGAGCTCATCACTACAATGTCCATCTTGAAAATGGATATAGTTCAACTCTACAGCTTAGGCTACAGCATAGGAAAAGCTTTGTTTTTCAGTTTTGTTTTTAAAATTATATATATATATATAGCCTTTCTTTGCTATCTCAATGCCCAGAATTTTGTTTGTTGTTGTTTTGTTTTGAGACAGGCTCTCATTTATGTAGCCCAGGTTGGCCTTGAACTCATGTTGATCCTCCTGTCTCAGCCTCTTGAGTGCTGGAATTACAGACATGCACAACCACACCCAACCCAGAATTTTGATCCCATTTCTACAAGGCAGCCAAAGAAGATGACGGTGATATGCAAAAGTTCCAAAGTCAGAATCCAGAGGCGATTCTTCAGTGCCCTAGGCTGGCTTCCCACCACCTTAGTCCCTTACTCTCCCTGCCCCCAGGGGATGCAGGGGCCACAGCAGTGCTTTCTGTCCCCATCTCCATGAAGCCACCACCCTCCCTAGAACCTACCTCTGCCCACAGAAGGGTCTCGCGGCCAGCACAGTGGCCCCCAGGCAGCCTCCTTGTTCATGCAGCTTCAGCCCTGCCACAACATACGCTGCGGGCCTCTGTGCCATTCCCCTCTGGTTGCTAGCTCTGGGTAACCCTGCCTCCCTAGCTGCATGCTGGCACCCACAGGGCCGGCATGCCCCCCACCTCAGCCCCATGCTTCCTGCTCTGTGGGGTCACACACTCCCATTCTCACCTGGCGGATCACAGTGTCACCCAGCAGAACAGGGGCACTGCTGGTGACCAGATGGCAGGGCCTGCGCTTGCCCTGCCTCACCTCTCCAGCGTCTCACTGCGTGTGGACAGTAAAGGTTTGAAAGACTCAGGGTGGATCAGGAAAGAGAGGTGAAAGGAAGCAAGGAGGCTGTTACAGCATGACTGCTAGAAGTGGGAAATGGAGATCCCGAAGATGGTTTCACAGATTTCCCTCATGCGGCCGCTGCTCTACCCAAATCCAGAGGCACAGGGGAGCCCATCCACCTGTGCAGCAGCTAAATCTCCAAAAACTCCAGTGCTGATGCTTTGGGAACTACTTAATTCTGGTGGGTACCAAAAGAGAACAGAGGACAGAAGAGAAAGAGGAGCCCTGGCTCCCCTCGCCTCTTCCATTTCTTGCTCTCAGACCCCACTGGTTGGTGGTGACGACCTCTGGTCATCTGGGGATGTCATCTCCCTAACTTCCTCAAGTTCTCCTCTTTGCGTTCCCACCAGTACCAGGCCCGGTGCCACCTCAGCACAGGTACTGTCCCCTCTGTTGGGGACCTGCTCCCCAGCCCCCAGCCCTCCCCAGCATCTTTCAGGCCCTTGTATAAAGGCCACCATCTAGCAGGGCCCACCCGGACCACCTGATTTAACACGGCACCTTCTTCTCCATTCCTGTTCCTATTTTCCAGTGCCATCTTTTAACATACCATATAATTTACTTCATGGTTTACTGCTTACTGTTTATTTCCTGTCTTGCTCTCCTTGCTAAAATATAAGTTCCATGAAGGGCAAGGAACTTGGTTCTCTCCACTGACCCCTCTAGAGCTCCTGGTAGAGGCCCCATAAATATTATTAAAACAAGCAACAGGGAGCTGTGTGGAGGTGACAGTCCCAGCCAAAGGGAGGATCTGGACAGTTACAAGGGGCAATGACTGAAATCTGGGCCCAATTCCGAGTGTGGCAAGGGAGGCGCCCTCGTGACATGGGCCACTGGAGCGTCTCCTCCACCAACCGTGAGCGCTACCAGGCCATGCAGTTCAATTCAGCCTCACATTAGTAAAGCTCATCATCCGTAATAGGTGAGTTCCACGTCCCAGATTTCTGTTCTCATCAGATATAAATGTGGTGACTGGGAAGAAAGCAATCCCCATTTTGTAGGTAGGAAAGTAAAGGAATAAGTCACACTACGTGAGGGACAGTAAGAACATCCCTGGGAAGAATGAGGAAGCCTAAGTTGCCACCTGGGTCAGCTGCTAACTGGACTGGCGACCTTGCATGAAGTCCTTAACCTCCAGCTTTCCAGTTCTATAGTGCAGCGAACAAAGTATATTTCACGTAACAACCAGACCCTTCAATTAAATAATAAACACAGAGAGCATCTTGGCGGGCTTGCACATAGTACTGGTTAAAGGTCAGTTACCTCTTTTAACTCTGTCCTTCCCAACCCCAGTCCGGCACTCGGTGGACAAGTTGTGTGGCTGTGACCTTAAACACAGCTGGCTCCTTTCTGAATCTGTCCCTTCCCCTGTTGGGCGCCGGCGCCCTACATGCTTGCCCTCCCCCACCGGGGATTTCCAGAGCTACGCTTAACCTCTGCTGGCGCATTCTATTTGGCTAAGAGCTGTTACAACCAGGCACTTGCCCATTGGCCGGTTTAAGACACGCAGCCTTATTTGATTGGTCCTGGGGAGTATAAAAGAGGATGTTAGGGAAGGTCCGGGGTAGTTCGCGGAGGATTTCGGGAAGTAGTTCGTAGAAGTAGTTCGGTTAAGTAGTAGTTCCGGAGAGAAGTTCGGGGGAGAGAAGAATAAAGAGAAGCTTAAGCACCATCTGACTCGCGTGTGATTTCAACGAGCGCCCGACATTCCCCTTCATTCTTTTATACAACAAATATCTCCTAAGAGCCTACTATGTGCCAGACACTGTGTGGCTCTGGACACGGAACAGTGAACAGTGTAAACAAAACTCCTTCCCTTGTAAGCTTACATCTAACTGACTGCATGGCATTGTTTATATTATACCATAAGATAGTAAATAATGACTCAGGACACTGGCCATTAAGGGCTCAGGAAAGAAGGCAAGCAGGCAAAGGGAACAGAATGTGTGCAGGAGGCTGGCATATTTAAACCAAGACTCCAAGAGGAGAAAGGCCTCTGGGCATCTTGGAGGGAAATTTCAGGAGGGCACAAGGCACGTGGGAGTCCACCTATCCTTCGGCCCCAGCTCATTACAGGCTGGCTCAGGGACTGTGCTGAAGCCAGAGGTGGCTTCACTTCTGCTTGATGTCTCCTGCTTCCCTCCCACCTGCCCACCTCTCTGCTTCCTGAGCACAGAGATCAACCAGGAGGGACTCCAGATGTCCCCAGGTGTTAGCTCTCCTGAAGAAGCAAAGACAACCCTCCCTACCATACGGAGGGACAGTGATGGGCCAGCAGGTGTGGCTACCCTAGGAAGGCATCCCCTACCCAGAACTTGCCATGGGCAGATCTTGGCATTGCCACCCAGAAAGAGAAGCAATGTTTCCCTGCACAAGCTGTGACAGATATTTCTGTCCCTTAGAGTAACAGGGAAAACTTAAGGAAAGGCCAAAAAAGAAAAGAATTCTGCTACTTCCCTAACCTTCCATTTTTGAATCAATAATGGTTTAAGTGCCCTAGGGCTGGGGGTTGGGAAGACCCTGGCATTGACTGACTACTCCAGATGCTAAACCACTAAGTGCAGGACAGAAACCCAAACAACTCCCACTCCCAGTCCTGAAAGACCAGTCATCCTCCTCCTCCACTCCATCACTGATCAATACTTTTGTAAAACGCAATAAACAAGAATTACTAGGAAAATAAATTCAACCAGACATCAAGATAAAAGCCCAAGTGTTTATTGTTAGATTCAACAGACATAAAACTGCATTGTCAGGTTGCTGTAAAAGTCTCAGACTACTCACTTTCAATTTCTGTATCCATCCCCTTACAGACCAGAAGGAATGAGGCTGCAGCTTGAGACTAGGCCGTGGGTCTCCTCCTAAAAGGCATCCCAGCTCAGTGATGCCCCAGCTCAGTGATGCCCCAGGTATCAGGTCAGGAGAACAGGACGCAGGACAGACACTGAGAGAAACACCTGTCAGAGATTCCAGAGATCCTGGAGACTGGGCTGGCTGCTCTAGGAAACTGGACTTAGAGACCTAGGGCTGTGATTTTCACACATTATTTACTCTGTAGCCTAGCTTAGAGAAATCTGCCACAGTAGTCATCCTTATCCACAAAACAATGGCCTATTAACATCACAATCCTGTCACATTAGTTCAAGGCACATCTAGCCCTACCCCAGGGGCTTTAAAGTTGACCCCTGGGGTATAGTAGGAGAGGGAGGCAATGCTGCCTCGGAGCAGGTGACTAATTTTCTTTCGTATTTAACAGGCTGTATTACTTGCTCACACACAATTCTTTTCTATTCAAGCCTTCCACTTCCTCAACTCCAAAACAATAACTTTGAAAACTAGAACCTGATGCCTCTGATATGGGACCTAATTTCTTGACATATAGCTCAAAGAACTGAAAAAAGAAGCACATTTCAGAGTGCTCAGAATAGAGGAAGAAAGTTCACACAACTCTTCTGACCAAAAATAACATCCATGACTCACATACTTACTCCACCAATCCATCAAGCAAACGTGAGATGCCTGCTTATAATTTATCAGCTATGCAGTGCATTCTGCCTCTGCACTGATGAGAAGAACTCTATGACTATCGCTTCAGAATAGCATTACTATGCAGAGGGAATGTCAGGGAAAAGGGTGGAAACTTCCTAGCACTAGACAGTGTTTCACAGAGATGGAACACGGAACCATGAGGTCATTTCCTCTCCAGCTCTGGGGCAAGGAGTAGCAGGAGTAGTAAAACTTGGAAAGCTTTACAAAGAAGTCTGTTTCAAATATTCAAATCCAGTAGGGCTGACATTAAAGCTTGATATTTT